TCAGGGAATGGATCAGGAGTCTGCTGGGGTCAGGAATGGATCAGGAATGTCTGTGCTTGGATTAGAGATTGGATCAGGAATGTCTGTGCTGGGGTCAGGGAATGGATCAGGAATGTCTCTGATGGGGTCAGGGAATGGATCAGGAATGGCTGTGCTGGGGTCAGGGAATGGATCAGGAGTCTGCTGGGGTCAGGAATGGATCAGGAATGTCTGTGCTGGGATCAGGGAATGGATCAGGAATGTCTGTGCTGGGGTCAGGGAATGGATCAGGAATGTCTGTGCTTGGATCAGGGAATGGATCAGGAATGTCTGTGCTGGGGTCAGGGAATGGATCAGGAATGTCTGTGCTGGGATCAGGGAATGGATCAGGAATGGCTGTGCTGGGGTCAGGGAATGGATCAGGAATGTCTGTGCTGGGATCAGGGAATGGATCAGGAATGGCCGTGCTGGGATCAGGGAATGGATCAGGAATGGCTGTGCCTGGCTCAGCCCAGGGACAGGATCCAGCCCCGGCTGCTGGATCAGACACACTTGGATCAAACCCCCGGAGCTTCCCAGCCCTGGCAGGGGCAGAGGAGGGGATTTAGGGACTGGGTGAAAACCTTTCTCCAGGTGCCTCAAACAACTCCAAGGTCTGAACCTGCCTACAGTGATGTTTAAAAACTCCCAGTTGATACATTTCTACAATCCCCTGGGAAACAAATTCCCTTTTGATGCAGAAGATCCCAGGAAAGGCGGAATGCAGATCCCAACATCCCAAAACACGAGTTTTTGTGCCTGGTGTCCCTGTCCCTGCTGCAGCACGAGCCCATCCAGGGCTGTTGGGGTGGGACTCAGCCTTTCCCTGAGCTAAAACAGCCAAAAAAGCAATTTTGAACTCCCTGGTGAGCAGATCCTGCTCCCTCCAACAGCCCCTGCCAGGGGAGTCTTGGCTTTGCATCTCAATTCTATTAAAAGAAGTTCCTACAGAAAAGCAAGTTCAGAGACAGCCCCTGGGTTGATTAATCAAAAAAAACCCCAAAGATCACTAAAAGCCACCCCAAATCTCCCAGGAAGTGTAAATGAGCCCAGCCCTGGCATTCCAGGGGGACAACCAGGATTTACACCAGCTGGGAGCTGTTGTTTCCACCCCGAGCGTTGTATTCACACCTTGAGAAAATACACTTTAAAAAAATCACTAAAGGCAGATGAAAATTGGCTCGTTTCCATCCTGACAATGCACAGAAAGGAGTTAACTGCCCAAATAAAGCGAATTGAGAAGCTTCAGGGGCTCCAGGTGACCCTTCCCAGGAGCTCTGGGCCGTGACTCCGGTGATCCATCGGTGCCACGAGGGATAATCCAGAGGCAAACACTGGGATCCAGGGCCAGCTCTGCAGTTTGAGGTGGAAAGCCAGGCCTGAAGGTTTCAAACTGCCCTAAAATTTCCTGGAGATGTGGGATGGAAAAGGAAGGGATTGATTTTCGGTGCTTGCCACCTGCAGTCTGCTCCGAGCTGCTCTGATCCCCTGCTCCTGAGCCATCCTCTGGAGCCTGAGGACTTTTTTTGGGATTCCTTTGGAAACAGGCTCTGATCCCCCGCTCCTGAGCCATCCTCTGGAGCCTGAGGACTTTTTTTGGGATTCCTTTGGAAACAGGCTCTGATCCCCCGCTCCTGAGCCATCCTCTGG